GCTCTGACCAAGAGGAGGCGTCGCTTTTGGTGCCTGCAAAATGCTATAGATCGTATCTACTTGCTGATGCATCTTGGACCCCAGTTCCTCTTGTGTGCTGCTGCTCTGGCTGTGCTGTATGGCTTCTACATTTTCATAAGAGGCCTCAGCTACATCAGAGGAGGTAGAAACTCTGGGCTCAGCCTGTGGCTGTGCCTCCACTGGCTGGCACAGCATTACCTGATCTGTGGATGTCTGGAAATAATAAAATACATTTTCAGTCTTTAAACAAAATGTCAAATACAATGAAAACACCTCATAGCATTAAAGTAAACTCAATGTCAGATCCATGTAAAATTGTTTTTGGTCTGTTTTTATCATTTCAGCCCTGTCATCCAATTGTTATGCTTTTAAATTTCTAGGGCTTAGCCCGAACGAGTGACGTGGGGACGTCCTCCTGTGGGCTCACCACCTGCAGGAGGATCCGTAAGGGGCCGGTGCATAGTGGATTGGGCAGCAGTCGAAGGCAGGGGCCCAGACGGCCCGATCTCTGGACACGGAGACTAGCCCTGGGGACATGGAATGTCACCTCGCTGGTGGGGAAGGAGCCTGAGCTTGTGCAGGAGGTTGAGAGGTACCAGCTAGATATAGTCGGGCTCACCTCCACGCACAGCTCGGGCTCTGGAACCTTACTCCTTGAGAGAGGCTGGACTCTTTACTACCAAATAAAGGTGATTATTATAATTATTACAATAATGGGTCTTGGGCTTTACACAAGTGTGAGACTATGATGGCCTTGGTTCAGGCCTAACAGTAAATATTTTTTTGTATTTACTAATGGGACTTGTTTTTGGAAATTTTGTTTTCCCTAAAATATCTTATATATAAAAATATGTATTTTTCCCCTCTGTGTAGGGTGAAAATAGAGCTAGTAATTACAATTGCTTGAAAGCTAAAAAGGTTTATTTGTGTGCGAGTACAAGAGTAAAGTCTGAGATGAATTTGGTCTGTTAATTTAAGTGCAAAGAAATGTGGGATTGTAAACCATGAAACAAAAACAATCCAAAATTAGTATCATGACAAGGAACTATCAAGCATTTGCTCACAATAAATGTCAATAACTACAAGTACTCCATCCATCCATCCATTTTCTAAACCGCTGAGTCCCAAACGGGGTCACAGGGGGCTGGAGCCAATCCCAGCCAGCTGTGGGCGAGGGGCAGGGTACACCCTGGACAGGTTGCCAGTCCATCGCAGGGCTAACACACAGACGAACAACTACTCACGCACACAATCACTTGACAGAAAAACTTCTGCTCCCTTTAGTCTGAGTCCTGGTCTTAGGAAGAGCCAGCAGGTTCTTGCCAGAGGAATGCAGACTGCATGTGGGTAGATAAGGGGAGAGTAACTCAGAAATGTATTTCAGTAATCCAACCCACTTCCCTGAAATCCTGGCAGGATATGTTCACAGTGTAGCTCACTGTCATATTTTAGAATGCTACGTAATCATTTTGGGCTGCACTTATTGTCGGATGGTTGGTGATTCCACATCTGTTTGTTCTTTAATTAAAGGCAAAATTAATCCTGTAGTCTTGCTGCGTTTGTGTTGACTAAAGAGGTTTCAGCACCAACAACATAATCATAAAAATACAGAGCTTATGATTTCTACCAGTATCATTTGATTTATATAAAAACACTCTTATAAATGGTAACTTTACCTGCAGTTATTGGTAATTTGCATGTATACAAATGTCTCCTCGGGTGTATAGTTGCACAAAACAGAGAGCAGACTCACTCCTCATTCAGGCTTTCCCTAATCCAACACTAGAAAGAAACAGACTCAGTTAGTCTGAAGCAACAACTGTCAAATAAAAGGAAGTCATGACCAGATATGCTCTCCGCTCTCCTCCTCTATACAGTATA